GGAATGCCCTGTCCCAGTTTCAAGAAGGTTTTTTTCCACTTCCTGAAGGTACTTTAACGTAACAGTCAGAACAACTTCCTAGTTTGCAGGGTGTGCAGCATCCAACCCTTTAGGAGAAGGAAGGTTGAGAAGTCACTTCTTTGTGAGATTTTTACACTTCTGTTCAAAACAAAAATTATCTTCTTATCTACTTTCTGCTGGGTTTGAAGCTGAATATAGTGTTCTTGACGTTTGGGCCATTCAGAAGGGAAAACCGCATTTTTTTGGATCCAGAATATTCATAGGCAAGAAGTTAGGGTCTGAACATCAGTTGTAGCCAGGTTAGTGTATTGCTTCTACACATCTGCAGTAGCGTAGTTTTTAGTGCAGTTTTTTCATTGTTGCTTATGAAATCTTGCACATACAACAGGATTACCTACGGATTTATGGATTACCCTTGTCAACATAGGTGTTTCAATTCCGTCTACTGTGCACTTACCTCTCCCTTGATACTGTTTTGGATCTGGCCTGCAGTTCCTTAAGAAACTCTGAAGAACTCTCACTAGAAACTTCAAGGCACCGTGTATTTGAATAGTTTGGTCATGTCTGCTTTCAGTATAATGTGATAAAGAAAGATATCAACAGCTCCTCTTAAAACATGTTTGATTGTGTAGACAGTCTGGTTAAAAGACGTAACTTTATTTAGCTTACTCAACATCTTTAAGAAATAAGTAAAATGAGTGTAATTCTTGCTTGTATCTAACACTACTTGTAGAGAGAGATAGCCCGGAAACTTGCAAATCCTAAGCAGCCAACAAATCCTTTCCTGGAAATGGTCAAATTTCTTTTGGAAAGAATTGCCCCTGTACATATTGACTCAGAAGCCATTAGGTAAGTTTGGAAGATCGCACTAACTTATGAATATTTATAAAGATGATTTAAATGACAAAAAATGTTTGCGGGATTTGAACTAGTCTGTTCCAGTAGTAAATATGCTTTTTAAAAGAATATTTTATGTAGATGTCTTAATTTCCAGCAGCCTAGAGAATGCAACTGGATCCTTTTTTTGATTTCTTCTTCGCAGTGCTGTCTGCAAATAATTAAAAAAAAGTTTAGTAGTTGTTCCCAGAGAAACTGCTATTTGTGGGGCTTAGGGTGAAAATGATGATCATAATTTTCACATAGTTAACTGCAACACAGTCTTGCATAGAGCAGTTGAATTAATTAGCTTTTGTGGGATTGTGTAAGAGAATGTTTGGATTTCTTTTGAGACTTGTCTGGCAACCTAATTACATTCTGAAACTCATGCAACTGTGTGTTGATCTGAATGCTGCCAGCATGGTGGGGGTTTCCCCCCCACCCCCCAAAGATTTAATTTTGCAGAAAGCTAAGTCAGAAGGAAAAGAAATAATGAAATAGCTTGATTAAAAGTACCAAACGACCAAATAAAAACTAAAAACAAAACCCAAATACCACAGCACCTTCCCCCAATGGATTATTGCCTTCTCTTTATTTATTGTTAAAGCCAAATAATCTCGCTGATATATCCAGCCTTTAACATTGTACTTTGTCACATTCATTTGCTGGTTTTGTATCTCTTACTTCAGTGCACTAGTGAAACTAATGAATAAATCCATAGAAGGGACAGCTGATGATGAAGAGGAGGGTGTAAGTCCTGATACTGCTATTCGTGCAGGACTTGAACTTCTCAAGGTAATCTACATAAATGCAGCTACAGTTGTAATGGGAGGGACAAAAGTGGTATGACTAAGGAATTAATGTTAGCATGGTTTTAATAGTTATTATCTGGATAATTACTTTTTTAATGTATGAAAGTGTTTGGTTATTAATACTCACTTGAGAAAAGAATAATGAAAGTATTTTTTTTAAGTAATATGTTTTAAAAAGGGTGCTGAGAGTTGAAATACACACATTAAAGTAGAAAACTGTGTTTGCCTAGGACAGTCATAGAAAAGAAGGTGCAGAGGTAAAGTGAGACGAAGAGAAATGAGGAGATTAAGAGGGGCAGTTTCTTTGAGGCCTGTATGACACTGGAAGGAAAGCAAGCAATAAATTCAAGAGCCAGGTTACGTAGAGGAAAAAAAAAGGGGGTGGGGGAACTTGTGTTCTCAGTGGTGATGAGAAATGGCTGGGGGAGAAAGAAGGATATGAAATATCTGGAAAACATCTGTGATGGATTTGGCAGTTCACTAATGAGACTTCATTTTCCATAAGTTAGAAAGGGCAGTGTAAAGTAGAGCAGGAACTGTAGGGAAGGTTACATAATTAAAGTGAGACTTTTCAGGAGTGTGAATGCATGAGGTGGAGTTTATGGAGGCACGTCACACCGAATCTGGTAACGGCAGCCACAGTAGAAATACTTGTACAGAAGTATGCAAGGTAGTAATGCCTGTCTCCTCATGTAGCTCAGAAATGAAATCTGCCAGGGTTGAAGATTTTGTTGCTGTGACGTGGATATCTTTGAGAATGTTGTTACACCCATTAATACGCAAGTAGGCAACTCTGATCAAAGAAACCAAGATAAGATCAATCCAAAGAAAACATAAAATATCTGCAACTTTTCATTGTTCTCCCTACCTTACGTTATCTGAACCTTACTAAATATAGTTTTGCTTTGGAATAACCTGCCTTGAATCTCTGCACGCTTAGTTTCTTACTTGAGGTTTCTCCTATTTAACAGAATGTGTTATATTTCATTAGCTATAGATTAAAAGGACACTAACCTGTTTTGTTTGTAGGTATCTTAACAGTCTTGATTGCTGTGCAGGGGCTATAGATTCTGGAGAAATATAAAATTTCAATTCAGTTAATGCAAGTTGGAAAAAAGCGTTCTTAAATAGATTGGAATATAAACAAATACTCTTGAATAAGTGTTACTGAGTATGTTTTCATATTCAAATAATGTAGCATCTTATAAAACATTTTGAGAAGGGGAGGACATGAAGAACAAATCACAGATGAGTGTATTTGAAAATGCCTATATCATTGTCTCCAAAATGTAGTTACTGGATGTAATAATCTTGTATGAGCATGTGATAGCTATTTATATTGATGGTAATGCTCATTAACAGCTATACTGTTGTTTTTCTAATGATCCATTTATACCTTCCTTTTAATGTGTATCTACAGGTTCTGTCCTTTACACATCCTACCTCGTTCCACTCTGCAGAGACCTATGAGTCTCTGCTGCAGTGCCTCAGGATGGAAGATGATAAGGTAGCTGAGGCAGCCATACAGATTTTCAGAAACACGGGTCACAAAATAGAAACAGACCTGCCACAAATAAGATCGTGAGTGTATTTCTTTACATGCTGCTTTTCATACCTGGAATTCTGCCTGCCTCTTGATAGTTTATTCAATATATTGCCCCTAAAATTACTTAGACTCTTGTGAATAGGTACAACTTCTCTTCCATCATTTTGTATTCCTTCACTGCTTTTCTGTCTCTTCATTTTTAGATTCAGCATTCGCTCAATTTTTGTGTATTAGATGTTAGGTACTTCTCAAAAAATCCTCTTGTAAGAGACACATTAAAACCAGCGTGTAGTGTGTTTCCCGGGTTACAAAATAAGCAACAGCAAAAATATGGCAGAAGATGTAATTCCTTGGCATCGTTTCTACTCATATCTGTCCTTCATGCAATTTTTCTATCTTTGTACAGAATGAAAATACAATCTCTGATGGTTAACAGCTCTGTTTGTTATGAAACAAGTTGGGAAACAAGATCCAAAAGCAGGCATGAATTTCTAACAAAGAATAATTGGCTGTCTGTAATTCATCATTATGCAATTCATGCTTTAACTGCTGATGAAGGCTGCATAATCTACTAGGTCTACAAACTATTTAGAACCTTGTGGGGTAACATCTCGAACCTTTAAATTAGCCTGTTAGTAACTAACTAATCCAGATTATAAAGCACAGGTTTCAATTTCTCATGTATTGAAATAACATCTTGGGTATTGCCATGCTAAAATACATACCAGTGAGTGTACACCTTAAATTCTCAGTGAATTGAAGATGTAACCTCAGTGGTTCGTACGGATTTGAATCGGATTTTGTGCAAAAGAAGAATGTTCCAAGTTCACACGTGAGATGCCTTTTAAGACAGTTGTAGGGGCGAAGAGAAGGAAAACCCAGCAATCCCCGTTGTCAGTTTAGTTCCCAGTATAGTTCTAATTGTTTGTAGTTCCCTTCTGGCATTTAGTCAAGGCTCTGCATTCCTGGCATATACCATCTTTTGTCAAAGGACCTGCTATTGCTGACATCTCTTTTGGCTTCATGCCCTAGATGGGTATTGCTGAAGTATAGGCTGGACAGGCTTAAGTAACTTAAAATATAACTGTCAAAATGAAGGTCTAGCCCTTGGCATGGTTTGCAGACAAGTCAGGTTAACGTTCTGAAAGCCAAAACCAGGTCAATGTTCACACTGATTCAAAGAAAAAGAAGTCTGAGGACAAGTAGAAGGTCCAGATTTCAGGTACTCAGAAATTATTGTTGTAAACAAAAGATTGGATATAATCAGCAAGACAGCTTGTTTCAAGTGACCTGTTGGGTGTGTTTTTTTCAAGTACGTGTGTGAACGGGCTGCCTGCTGTCCCTTGAAGTAGTGTTCACCAGCAGCAGCCCGAGTTCTTCCTTGTATGGGATGTGAATAGGTTTGTGCACCAGTTCGTGATCAAGGATTGCCCCATGACTCTAGAGGTGTGTGGAAGCACTGGCCGTGCTCACAGAGCCTATGGACCACGTGTAAACTTGTAGGTGTGAACATGTAAACGTGTCGGGTTTAAACTTTTTCAGCTTTATGTCAGTTGGGGTGTGATGAGGTATGGTTTGTAACTGATGCACCAACGCTTGGCAGAGGCCCTTTGATGTGTGTGTACTTGCGCTGTGAAAGCTATAGGTTAGGCATTGAAGCTTATTTTAACTGTAGGTTTTACTGAATTCTTTGCTATCTTGTTCTTATTTGATTCAACCTGTGAGTATTAGCAGGTTTGAGAAGAGATGTTCTCCCACGTCAGGATATCGTTAACATTTTTCTGGGGGTCCTCTGTTTGGTTTGGGGTTTTATGCGGTTTATGAGCAAAATGTTTGAGACTTCATTCTTTTCACCCTGCAATCGCTTCTTGCACCTCTTCTTGCCGATTATGTAGAATGTGTCAGTGAAGGCTGGGTGCTAAATAATCCATTTACTGCATGCTGTATTGTTACTGAGCTTTTCAGGGAAGCAGGATATTTTTTTTAGGTGTTTGTGTGTCAGGTGCTGTGTAGGCAATTTTGTTTTCTCGTGCCAGTTGCTGGGTGAGTTGAGTGGTAAACCTCAGGAGTGAGTGTCCCAGAGGATGGCCTCTCAGGGGAGACAGGCCTGCCTTCCAGCACTCTCCCAGAAGTGGCACCAAACAGCCTGAGCAACCTCGACCTGGTCTCTGGAGCAGCTTCTGCCCTGCTCTTTCCTTCAGTGGCCTCAGATCAGCAGATGGATTTCAGGGGACTCAAATGCAAAAGCTCTGAACAAAGTAGTTGTGTACTTGAGGATGTATTGTGATTAAAGGCCAAAGTTAACGTAGTAAAGGCCTATAAGCACACATAAGCTTAGTGGTTATTTCATAATTCTTCAGCTCTGTCACTTCCAAGCTTGGATAACAAGTCCAGGAGTTTTCCCTAGCTGGACCTGTCAGATTCCCCCCACCTTGTATTTGGCTTCCTAAACAACTTTATTTTGATTATTATTTTCTTTCATGTCTGATTTTTCCCTGTGGGCTTTTTTCTGCTGGGTACAGTCAAATGTTCAACAAGTATTACTAAATACAATTCCATCTTGGTTTTCAGTTTATGATTATGATCTTTTCCTGAACAGACTTCAAAGGAATGCTTGATTTATAAGACCGTGAGGATAGATTTGTACAGGTGAAGCACTTTATTTTTTTTTGGAGATTGCATATTGCATTTTGAAGTATTTTGTTTAATGTTCACAGAACACTAATTCCGATTTTGCATCAGAAAGCAAAAAGAGGCACTCCTCATCAGGCAAAACAAGCTGTTCACTGTATACATGCCATATTTTCAAATAAAGAAGTGCAACTTGCACAGATCTTTGAGGTATGTCCTGCTTTTTTGTTCCTAAGGTTTGTTTCTGTTCTTCTTAATTGATACTAGTAATTACCATTAATCTAGCTGTTTATTAACAGATAAGTTTATGAGGTCAGGAAGCCTACAGGTGCATGGTAGTTAAGTCATTAATTGTACAATAGCAAATTATTAATATTTGTTTTGTACAGTCACGATTTTGTAGTGTTCTGATGTCTGGTAGATAAGGGACTCCCCTTCTGTCTACACGAGAAAAGTTAGGAGGGGATTAAATACGCTGGAATGATCCACACTAAATCCCATGAGGACATATTTAGCCAACACTGAATGAGAGAGAACATCCTCTACTTTCAAACTGTATTAAATTACCATGCTTTAAGGTTTTTGCACGTACAGCACTTTCTCACCAAGGAAGTTAGCACAGACTAACTACTTAACTGTAAGCTCAGACATCAGCTTACTGCTCGCTTACTGCTTGCTTAGACAGCTGTAAAGCAAAAAGTCACCTTATACAGAGCAGAGAGGTTACTACTTTTCACTTTAATCTCTTAAATAATAACATTATTAATCTGCACTTTTAAAATATCTTAGGTTCTTAATCTTGGCTGTCTTTGGACCTATGCATAATTCAGAAGTGTGAAAAGCTTTGAATTAAGCATACAGTTTGATCTCTGCTTGGACTTCTATCACAGTGCACATTCCCTCGCCGGTAGCAGAATACGATGTGAGGGTGCTGGGTGATACAGCAGCACGGAATTATCCGGGTGCCTGTTAGCTATGAGGGAAATACTGATCACTTGATAGAAGTGTCCCTGGTGGTTTCCAAGGGTTTTTTAGCTGCCATTACCTGCTATTATTTTCTGCATTTGCAGTTCTGATTTGGGTTTTCACGACTCCTGAATAGAATTCAGTCAGAGTTTTTCCCATATCTCCCAGGTCTGAATGTGTTTCACTATTAAAACAGAAAGAGAATGTAAAATTCATTTTGCCCATATCTAATGGGAAAATTTTGGATACTCTGTTAATAAGGAAATCAGATTCTTTCTCCATTGTGATTTGCTAACTTTATTAATTCTTCTGGAAAAGCCATGAAACTCGATCAGCAATCCAGCAGTAAAATAAATAATTTTTAGGCATGCTAGCATTCTCTAGTTGAATTTTGATTTTTTTTTTTTTTTTTTCTTCCTCAGCCTCTTAGTAGAAGTTTGAATGCTGATGTACCAGAACAACTTATAACTCCATTAGTCTCACTGGGTCATATTTCTATGTTGGCTCCAGACCAGTTTGCATCTCCAATGAAGTCTGTTGTTGCAAATTTCATTGTGAAGGATCTCCTGATGAATGATAGGGTAAGATTTTCTTTTTTTGGTAAGTCCTTTACTCTTCTGCTTGCTGGTTACTAAGTCTGTGGGGAATAGAGCTTTTTTTTTTTTTTTTTGGCTGTGTTAAATGGGTTAATAAAGGAACAATACAGTAATACTGCATTATAAAGGTCTTTGTGAGAAAGAAAGCTTAGTCCATGACTTTTTTCCATTTTTACCGCTACATTTTCTGTATGGGTTGAACCAGTTCTTAAACTTACACGAATGTCTGTAGTCAACAGGTGAGAAAAATGGAAAATTGTGGTCTCCAGATGAAGAAGTTTCTCCAGAAGTACTAGCAAAGGTGAATGATCTGCTGTCAGTAATAATGTGTATATTTCAGATAAAAAATTCAATTTTTTCCAAGTTGTATAATGAGGAGTATTACAATAAACCCCCTTGAGAACTTTCGTATTAGCTTCTTTGGAATATGCAGTGTTCTGGAGGTTTTGTACGATTATACACACTGTTACAGAACTGGTAGAAGCTGTGCGTTCTGGTGTCTTCAGTTAGTGATAATTAATTATGCTGAATGTTAAGGAAAGTAAGAGATTCAAAAGTTTTAATTTTCCTTACAGTAAAGGCAATTTGACTTTATTGACTGTAAACGGATTTGAAATAAGTTGAGACCTTGATGGACTTTATTCATTCATCTTTATAGGCTATTTACTGTGACTCTAATTATGGCCATTTCTAGAAATGTTTATTTAGTTGCTCTTATTTTTAATCATGTAGCAAGTATCCTGCATCGTCTAGATGCACTTGTGAGAAGACACTGAACCATAGTTGAAATGTCCTGATGTCACAAAGGCTGCTACTTCCTTCTTCACTCTGTAAATATTTACTGCTTCATTCTGTTCCATTAAAAATGTGTCGCCTCGAATAAATAGGAGTCTGTGGAAATTTCATTTTGACTGCAGTAGGTTTTACTGCCTTAGCAACTTTAGGAAGTTCATTGTTTGTTTGTTTGTGTTTGATAGGTGCAAGCCATTAAGCTGTTGGTACGCTGGCTGTTGGGTATGAAAAACAACCAGTCGAAATCTGCAAATTCCACACTCCGGTTATTATCAGCAATGCTTGTCAGTGAAGGAGACTTGACAGAACAGAAGCGAATCAGGTCAGTTTTTGTTCTTTTCAGGCCTCCATCAATAGTGTCGTAGAATCTCAAAGAACATGAATTCTTTTGCAGCTTTTTTAGAATTCTGAGATGTTGGCTACTACGATGGTAGAAAACAGATCTGATTGGAGTTTTATTTTAGGAATGGAATGTATAAAAATATGCTTGATACTCCCTTTTGTAATTTACTAGTATCTAACTTAGAGCCTAGAAGATACCTTGATAGTAAAATTACCTACAGGAGTATCTCTGAAAACAACCGAGTGATAAGATTTAACATACTTAGGAGTTGGGTGATCTTGGTGGACCGTCTTTGTTCCAACAATGAGGTAACTTTGCAGCTCATCTTCACTCTGACGGTGAAGGAAGGAAAGAGAAAATCTGTGGCAAAAGTGTTGCTTTGATTTAGACATCGATATGAAAAAAAGAAACTTGACTCTTCCTATTTCACTGTTTTACTGAAATTAATTTTTTTGTGGGGAAAGCATAGCCCCTTACTTTTACAAATTTGATCGGGTTAATTTAGCTTGAACTGAATCGACAGAACTGTAATTGCTCATTGATCTTGTAAAATGAAGAAATCGTGACACGCAAATAATTTGAGGGTAGTTGTGGAGAGTTGTTTTGTTTATTTTTCCTCTCACATTTGTATAGTAAATCAGATATGTCTCGACTGCGATTAGCTGCTGGTAGTGCAATAATGAAGCTTGCACAGGAACCCTGTTACCACGAAATAATTACCCCAGAACAGTTCCAGCTCTGTGCGCTTGTCATTAACGTAAGTAACTGCATTTGAACTGAATTTGACTCAATTAATTGAGTTCAGAGTACTTAAATCTGAGCTTTTGTTGCTGTTATATTGAGTATATTCTTTTCCTCACTGTAGCTTTCAAAACAGTTCGTGAATTTCCAGATATTTATTGTTGCACTTGTTGATATTTTTAAAATGTCCCCTCATAATTCAACCTTGCATGCTCTTCTTTTTTGTTTTCGTGGGCTTTTGTTTTGTTTTGGTGGGGTTATTTGTTTGTTTGTGGGGTTTGTTGTTGTTGTTTTTTAAAGGACCAAGATTTTTATGGTTGCGCTCTTCTGTTTTATGTTGCTATAGGATGAGTGCTACCAAGTGAGGCAGATATTTGCCCAAAAACTGCATAAGGCACTTGTGAAATTACTGCTCCCTTTGGAATATATGGCAATCTTTGCTTTGTGTGCCAAAGACCCTGTGAAAGAGAGAAGAGCACATGCCAGACAGTGCTTGCTCAAAAACATCAGTATACGAAGAGAATATATTAAGCAGAATCCTATGGCTAATGGTTAGTATTTTGGTGAAATTGTTTAGTATCTGAGTCTTGTATGCTGAACTGGAAGGAGTAATCATCAGAAGTGAAGCAAATTGCGTTTGTAAAGAAACACTGGATAAGTTTAATTAGTTTCCTCATTTATTAGACCATTCAGATCTAAATTTACTTAGTTTACATGAAGCATAAAACATAAAATACTTCTCAGTACATTGCTGAGAATGGTATGTGGAAAATATAATGCAGTTACTGTGGGTAGTTGTTTTCTCAAAGAATAAAATTCTGTTTTCTGATGTTTTAGGCTTTGTGACCTTCCTGAAGTAAGAGCGAGTAGTTTGTAGTAGTAAAACTCATTCGTTTATTTTTAATGATTCCTTAAAGTTTAAATTTGCAGGGAGAAAATGCAAGTTGAAATTTTACATTCCATATTTGAAATTTAATACTTTGGGAAAGTTTTTCTTGTGATGTATGTTTGTGTGTAATACAGAGGTTATCTATGGTTTTTTGTTCCTATAGAAAAACTGCTATCCTTGCTGCCTGAATATGTGGTACCATATATGATTCACTTACTGGCACATGATCCAGATTTCACAAAACCTCAGGATGTTGATCAGCTTCGTGATGTCAAAGAGTAAGTGTCAAGTGGTTCTGGAATTGTTATGCTGAGAATTGCTCTGTGCTTGGAAAAAACTGATTGCAAAAAGGAACTCTTGTTTTATTTTGCAAAACAGTAATCTTGGAAGTGTGTGACACTTGAAATGAGGGAAGAAGGCATCAGCAGTTGCTTAGCAGTATGTTCTGAAAGCCCCAATGGTAGCCTGTAGGTCACACCATAGTATAGCAAATTTAGCAAGCTGTCTAGGCTTCTTTTGAAGTGAAGGAATCATTTTAGATTCTTGTATTTGTGCCTAGGAATATCTGTAGAATTTCCCAACACACTTAAGAGATGGCAAGTAATGTCAGTTCAGATACTGTGGAACTTCACCAAGACTTGAAAACGTAATGCCACTGATGCTGGGTCAGTCCTGCTTCACTGGAAACGTCTCCCCCCCACACACTATGGAAACCTCCTAGAATTCATGCTAAGTTTGCTGCTGATTTACCGTTTGCACCGTACATCTGCAGTGCAGGCTTAGTGCGTCTTAATGGATGCAGCGCAGATGATTGTGCACAAGGCTGTCATACAGAAGCTTGTTCTGTACTGTTTCCAATTTGAGACTGACTTGTATGCCTCAAATAATCCTCCATACCTTAAGCGTAACTTGCATTCCTTTGTGTCCTGTAATGAATTTTAAAAAACAGTTAAATTTTAACACTCTGAAAATGGTTAAGCGTCCCGTCCTATGCTTTGGTTTTAGTGTTTTGGGGTTTGCTTGTATTTATTTTTGGTGGAACTGTGAATGATGTTGTTTTGGTATTACAAAGCAATTCATTCTTGGCACAAACAGCCCAGTTCACATCTGAAGTCTTTTTACACCTTCACCTGTGAGAGTCCAAGTCTGATCCTTTCTTTTAATGAAAAATGTGATTTGTTCTGATTTCTCAGTGACTCGACTCACACCTGGTCAGAACCTGAAGTCAGTGAAGGTTTCTTACCTAACCATGGTCTAAGTTTTGTCCCAGGACTTCCTGTTCCTGGCAGCACCTGAAAGCACTCTTCAGCTTGTACTTTATCCAAAACACATGTAACAAGTTTTGATCCGTGCTTGTTGAGTTAATACATTCCCTGAGAAGTGCTTTCTAGTGCATAGAGCCTCATTGGACACCCCTTGTATAGCTGTCCTTTGTTGTCAAATTCCCTCCCTCCTGTTTGTCACAGCCTGGCTGTACTAGCCAGAGAGGACTGCTCCAAACAAAGAAATACTCTGTATGGGAATTTTGGCAGGAATACTTCTCTGAAGAGTCTCCTGAGATAAATGCAAAACGCTTTTCTCATATAATGTAGCACAGTGTTTATTTCAAGAGTTCTGAGAGTCATCGTGTTCACTTAAAAGTGTTAACATAGATGCTTGCAAACTTGGAAAAGCAGACTGGCAGGGTGTTTTGTCATTGTCTCCCTAGTTTTACACAGCCTGAATAGAGTCATGTGAAGAAAAGCATGTTTAGGAAGTTCCATAACCATAATCTGAGATATTTATTCTTACAGAGTTTTTTGAGCTTGTCCTATAGATGTATGTTTGTTTTCTTTTTTATCTAGAGACAGTGTCTTTTTCTTCCGAATATATACTCCAAAAATAACTGAAATGGATACAGAGAATGAACTTGATGCGATTGTGTTTTTCTAGGTGCATATTTTTCTACATGAAATCCCACTGCTGTTCTGGAAAGGCCTTGTTCAGGGTTGATAGTGACTTATTTAGTTTGTTGACTTAGTGAAGAAATCAAGCTATTGAAACTGGCATGCGTTAACTGGAATTACCGGAGCAGAATTTGTCCCCAGTAGTAATCTTGGGCTGACACAGGGTTTTGGAGAAGCTGGGTCAGTGTGGTATGTTATCAGTCCTCTATTCATCCCATTTAAGTGCTTGGGAATAGTGAATAGATGGATGTGAAGGTGTCTAACACATTTATTTAATTATAGCCTTTGTAGCTCTTGGTTGCAAGTCAGAATATCGATGTCTTATTTTATTTGAACAGTGGATAACTATTTAAATGTTTAGACAGAGCACAACCCTCTTACTTAGAGTTTTTGAGAGAAATGTTCCTTCATCTCTTGCATTGCAATCTTTAATTTGTCTCGGTTAAGAAGATTGAGGCTTTTGTGGACAGGAAATTCTGATGTTCAGCCATCCTGTTTTTCTAGTTCTTTTTTATTAGCCTCTTTCTACAAGGTAATATCTCCTCCAGAGCTTCAGAATTAAATTAGCTGCTGGCAAAGCCTGCATTTCTCAGACCCACCCATATGTCTTTACCAACTTATTATTCCACTGTATTAGGGCTGTTGTTCACCCTCTTAGCCACGTGCAGCTCTGCAGCTTGATAGCAAACGGTAGTGTGGACAGACCAGTTGTGCTTTGTATCATATTTGAAAAATTCTTTAAACAAACTTCTAATCAAAATATAATGGGTTCTCCCTATAAATAAACTAGATTTAAAGAAAGAAAACTGTGAAAGCTAATTCCATAATGTCTGTCTGTAAGGATTTCTTTTCCTCCTGTGTGGAGCATTAACAAGACTCTGAGCTCTTCAGTGTTGGATCTCCTCTCCTATTTGAATTCCAGTATTACACCACGTAGCGTGGGTAACTCTGGTAGCAGTATGGTTCATTTCAGCCTGTTCTGAGTGTGGTCGTGGTACATTGTTGATAGGGACATAGACACAGCCCAAGGCACTGATTACAGAATTTCATCTAGGTGATGGTAGCACCAGAGTTCTTCCTTCTGTTCCTATTTGGAAGAGAAAAAAAATTGGTTGGTTGGGCAGTGTTTACAGATACAATAGAGAAGCACACTAATTTGGCAGATTTATTCTGTAAAGATTGTGACTCTGTGTGTTAAAGGTCTGGACTATGCTTACACCTTCAGATGATGTTATCTGTTTATAATACCGTCAAATTGATTGTGGTTTCTTAAGAAAAAGCCAGTACAGCTGACAAATTTTTAATACATTGCTATATGTGGGAGATGCAGTATAAAAACTGGAATGTAATTGCTTGTGGTTTTATGGCTTTTTAAGGTGCCTGTGGTTCATGCTTGAAGTTTTAATGACAAAGAATGAGAACAATAGCCATGCCTTCATGAAAAAGATGGCAGAAAACATTAAGCTTACCCGAGATGCTCAGTCTCCTGATGAGCCGAAGGCCAATGAAGTAAGAAATGCAATTCAGATAAGTGTTGGGTGATGGGCTGAGGGTTTCACAAGCAGTTGATGAACAGGCTTTGCAGGAAATCTGAAAGCACTAGCTCAGACATTTTTATGGTCGTTCAGAGAGTGTTAATTGCAAGCATTGCCTGTATGTTGCTAATCTCATCCTTTCAGGACCTTGCTGAACTTAGCCAGCACACAATACCTAATGAAGTTAATAACCAAAATTTGTTAAATATTCCTGTTACTGCCTGCCTGCCTTATTTTAACTCCTACTGCCTAGTTTTCTGACATAAGCATCTTCTGCTGTTAGGGGAGGAAATACTGTAGGCTGCTGTTAAACCTGTTAGTGTCTATCAGAGATGAGAAACCATTTATGGTGATTGGATTGAGCAAGAGCTTCTGTTGTACAGCATAGGCCTGTAAAGTGTTACTAGTTTTTATTAAATAGTACCATATGAAAAATGGGGACTTTTGTATGTGTTTGAAGAGGCAACAGTATGGTGAATGATGTAATTACAAAACACGTCCTTGGTGGCTATTATAACACATAGATTAAACTTTAAAGAACTATATTCTCTGTACACTGTAAAAACAGTAAGTAATTCCGAATTTTCTTTTTTCTTTCAGAAACTTTATACAGTATGTGATGTAGCACTTTGTGTAATCAACAGCAAAAGTGCTTTGTGCAATGCAGATTCACCGAAGGACCCTGTATTGCCAACCAAATTTTTTACACAACCTGAGAAGGTAAATTTATTGAATAATTTCCAAAGTAATAAGGGGAAATGCTTTGATTTTTATAACTGAGAGCTGGTTATCTCCATAATATAATATCCTGAGTGGGAAAATGCATATATTTTATCCTCAGCAATTAATTTTTTTTAACATAGGCTGTATGCTATGCTCTGTCTTATGAACATGTGCCAGAAGCATTTGTAACCAGGTGAGAGCTAATTAGAATAAATATTGATAACTTAGCATGTATTGCTAGACCATCTCATTAAAGTCTTTTACAAGTGCTACTGAATATATGAGAATATGTGCATATTGTGACTGTATATCTGAATCAGCACACAAAACAGACTAAAAAGGGAACATTTTTTATGTTACCTGTGGTATGTTTATACCTGTAAGCAGCTGTTTGGCTGTTTTGTTTGCTGTACAAGCTGGTCGTCTTACTGCCTAGTAATAGCCTTGCTGAGTACAGCTCTACTGTCAGCAATAGCACTACTGTTCTTTGAGAGGCATACTTCTAAATAGTGTAAGTGCAAGCAAAGTAATTCACTGGACCAGAGCTAATGTTTTGCATGTACTGAAGAACACATTTCTCAGTGTGTTAGAGTGTTAATTAACAACCTTTCCAGCATCCGTTTAAGCTAAATTTAGTTGGCTTATTTAACTGTGAAAAGGCAGATGCCCTGGTGACAGGGAGTTGGTGTCTGAGATAGCCACCTGCATTAAAATTTAGTGGTTTAGCCTGTGTAAACTGTACTCAGCTTGACAAAGGTAGCAACTTCCAACTTGTTTACAGAAAACAGCACCAATTTTCCTCTTTGGAGTTCCCATTAAAAAGATGCAAGTGAAAAAATAGGGAGAGTAAGTTTTGTTTCACTTCAAATGATTGATGTCATTCAAGAAGAAAACAAAAATGCTAATCCTGACTTCAGGCATGGCATACTGTCAGTCAGTACTGCTCACTACAGATCTCCTCCAAAATACTGTTTGACCTGTCTTTATTAGGTTGGTTCATTTGTCAGCAGGTTGCATGGTAGCACTTGATAGCAGCACCTGAGAACTTAGTCGTATATATGTAAAAAACCAACAGCAAGATTGAGGGATCAAACATAAACTGGTTTTTATTTCATGTTTTTATACAGGATTTCTGCAATGACAGGAATTACATTTCAGAAGAGACAAGGGTTCTTCTTTTGACAGGAAAGGTACTGTATTTTGACAAATAACAATTCTTTGAATATTACTTGTGATTTTTTTTTTTAATGTCCTGGACTGCTGTAGTTTAAAAATTCTATTAAGAGTTTGTGTACAACAGTTTGATTCTTTCATTTGATGGCATAATTAACACCTTGAACGTACTACCTGGTGAGTACACAGCGCCAGGATTGTTAGCTGTGCACTGGGGCATAGGTTCTTGATTAATTACAGTTTTTCACATAACTTCATGCCATGCTTATCTGAATAATGGAAGAACCTGTGGTTATGATGCAGATCCTGAAGTGTGACACCACTAGCATTGGAGGTCTTAAATTGTCAATCTTAGTATTTTTAATCTAGTTGTTAACGCTGGTAAATTCAACTGCAAATGTTTACACCCTTCTAAACGTTTCATTTTGTTTCACAAATAATTTGATACCTTCACAGGGGTATAAAATACCGATTCTTTCAGCAGGGGGGTGGGTGATGCACAACACCACCACTCCCCCGCCACCCCC